CCTCCCCCCGGCGCTGCGGCTTGGGAGCGCGGGGCCCGCGATCGCTCCGTGGTCCCCGGGGCAGGTGAGGAGCCACCTTTCCGCGGCTCCAGGCGCGTTGTGCAGCTCCGCTGCGCCCGGAGCGCGGCCGCGTGCGGGGAGGGAAACGCACGAGCCTGGGGGTAGGAGCCCCCGGGGCTTGGCGCAGGGGACACGGAAGCATCATTCCCGCCTTCTCCCCCCGGCCCTCAGCGAGCGTCCAGGTCAATGCCCGCTCGCTCCAAGGACCCGGACCGGACCCACCCGCACACGCTGCCTAGCGGGGCTGTAGCTCCATTCCGCCCTGCTCATTTCTTGGAGTAACGATCCTCTTCGTTGTAGGCTGAAGGAGAGTCCAAGGGCGATAAGGCCAAAGTTAAGGATGAGGTAAGAAGGCTCATTTCCGAGGAGTTGGTTAAATGGTCGAGTTTCAAGATTACGGGCTGATCAAGATTAAAACTTAAGGAGCAAGTCACATTCTTCATTCATGCTAACCTTTGAAAGACAGGCCTGAACTTTAATCTTAGCCTTTGTAAACCTGCCTACCAGCAGTATCCCAGGCTGTCCATCATCTAGGCCGGGGTTGTCAAACTGAGGGTGGCGTGGTTAGCCTCCATCCCAAACCCTGCTTTACCACCAGTATTTATAATGTGTTGCACTCAGAAGCTTGCTGTGTGAAAAGGGTCACCAATGCAAAAGTTTGGGAATTAGTGATCTAAGTAGTATGTTCTCTTCCTCATGGTAGTGTGTAGACAGCAGGCCAAATATTCCAGCACTAATCTATATATATTTTTTTTAAATGCCTGATTCAAATTTATTTTGAGGTCTTTTAAGTAGACAACTAATTTATGCTTTTCAGCTATTCTGATAGTTCCATTACTTTGTTTTCTTTGATAGCCACAACGGAGATCAGCAAGGTTATCTGCTGTAAGTATCTGTCTTATTATTGGGTTGAGGTATGTTGCAAATAAACACTTTTTAAAATACTGGTCTCTAATATTATCCCTGAAGAGCTGCTTTAGCTCACCTCATGTATTATTTTAGAATGCTTATTAGCATGTCACTTAGGAGAAGGATATCAGTTCACTGTCTGGTGTGAAATGGGTACTGGGTACTGTCTTAAAAGCTAGAGAAATGGTATGGGATAACTGAGACAGAAACCCTCCCCGGTGGGCAAACAGCTAAAGTTTCTTTTACCAAGGAGTGCATGGTGGCATCATGGAAAAAATGCAAGAGATCTAAGTGACAAGCACTTTGTATCTTGGAGTTCTACACTTGTTTTGTTTTTATATTCTCTTCTAGAAACCTGCTCCTCCAAAGCCAGAGCCTAAACCTAAAAAGGTAGCTCCAAAGGTAAGTTGATACCATGGGATGCAAATTAATGTAAAATGTAATGAATGTCCTGTGCAAAGTATATTCATGATCCTATTTAGTTTGAGGCATGGCCTGGTGGTGCAGGCTTAAATGAGCAGATGTCAGTGCATTCAGTAATTGCTTGTCTGCATACATCTCCTTGGAAGGGTTGATGTCACTTCAGTTACTTAGAATATTTGTGAAAGATCTGATCAAGTACTTCAAGGCAGTACTTTCATTAAAGCTATAAATTTTAGTTTCTATTTGCATCTAAATTCCAAATAGCATACTGTTTCCCATCATGTGAGTTAATGGGGCTCTTGCAGGTATTCAGAGTGTGTTTGTATGTCTAACAATATTATCTTCCCACCACTTGGCAGAAGGGGGAGAAGTTACCTAAGGGAAAGAAAGGGAAAGCTGATGCTGGCAAGGATGGAAACAACCCTGCAGAAAATGGAGATGCCAAAACAGACCAGGTATAACAGCATGTCTAGTAGCCTCGGTCATTCTAATGAATTGGGAAGTTCTCCACGATCAGTAAAGGCAGGTTGAGGCCTGTGCTAGAAAAAATTCCTTGATTAGATTAGGCAATTTGTTTATGGCACAAGCTATGTACACTTTTATATTTAACGGTTCTGGGCTATTTTTGTTTACCATTTTCAACTAGTGTATACTTAAAAGTTGTTTGGTGCTAGTTGAAAGCAAAAGTAAATGCTAAATTGTCACTTACTCTTCTCTGCACCAATAGCATTAAAACAGTGCATAACGTAACTTCAGGCTTGCTTCTAACGAGGCTTTAATTCTGTATTTCGCTTAATGAATATTGTGATCCAATTACTATAACAAAGCATCATTTTAATATCCTCAGTGGTTCAGGACTATAATTTTTCTTCCCTAATTCTGTTAATGAATTGCTTTGTGAAAAGTGAGTTAAGTCTGCACAATGGATTGACTAGTTCTCTCTCTTTCAGGCACAAAAAGCTGAAGGTGCTGGTGATGCCAAGTGAATTGTGTGAATTTTTGATAACTGTGTACTTCTGGTGACTGTACAGTTTGAAATACTATTTTTTATCAAGTTTTATAACAATGCAGAATTTTGTTTTACTTTTTTTTTAAAGCTATGTTGTTAGCACACAGAATGCTTCGTTGTTGTGGTTTTTGGGGAGCAACGGGGGCAAAAATGTCACTTACTATATTTCTCAAACTGGTTTTTAAAAAAAGCCCCCATTCTCTCCTCCCCCCCCTTTTAATTTTTTTTTTTTTTTTACATTTTATTTTATTTTTTTATTTAATTTTTTTTTTTTTTTTACATTTTATTTTATTATTTCTTTTTTAAAGAAGGGCTCTTCCTGGATATGAGGAGGAGGGGATTCCCTGATGCTGCATATCAGTTTAGGTTTGTGAAATGCATTGGAGTGAACATTGAAGCTCCCAGCATGCTTGGTTGCCGGTCTTAAAACTACAGTTTAATGCCCTTTGTTTTCTCATCCCTTTAGACATTTGCATATAGCTTATCACTCCTTTTAAATATGGCAAAAGGCATTTTGGGATTTTCATCCTAAATCTAATGCATTGTCACTGTCAGGCAATCCAGACTTCAGTGTCAAAATTGGAATTAGGGCTCTAAAAGGCGCTACATTTCCTCTTTTTTATATTGTGGATCTTCAGATTAAGAACTCTGCCGTTTTAATTTTTTTCTTTTAAAAGTCAGGGTAGGCTCGTGAAAAGTTGTTAAACAACATGCTAAATGTGAAAGTGTCCACCCTCACTCTAAACTTTTCCCTGTCCAAGTATGAAATGAAGATTCTTCATTGGTTTTTATATAGTAACTTTTACGTTTTGGTAGTCTGTGGAGGGAGGGGAGTTTGAAGTTGTTGTAAAATGTTGCAGATTGTAGCCCATGTCCTGCCTGAATTACCATGATTGTTTATGAAAAGTACATTTAATAAAGCTGGATACAGTTTGGCTTGGATTGTTAATGTTTTCTGCTTTCTATGGTTTTTCTCACCTTTGACAGGGCAACATTCCTGAAGAAGGAAGTGAACAGTTGTATTTGCTTGATGTATATACATTAATAGGATAGTTTGTTCCCAAAACAAAGATGTAATTAGTCATCTTGTCCTTACAGTACAAATATGTACACCTGGTAGCTCCATTGCAAGGTTATTCAGGTCATTTCTGGTTCCAGATTTCATTCTGGACTGATACATGGAGCGAGTGGTTCTGCTGGGGAGAGAGGGAGGAGGAGAATTATGTCATATGGCTTCAGGCCTCAGTGTAAGATTGAAGGGAACTGTTCAGCTTCTATCATGGTCTAACATACCATGAGTGCTTCAGTTAGCATATGGAGAACTAATATTTTAACTTCCCTAGGTTTTGTGTATCTGCCCTCAAGTTCTCTTAATTTCTGTGGTCTACAATCACATCTTATTTTTAAAATTCTGTTACTCTAAATAGTATTTTAAGAGGTTAAAATCAGATATGGGTTAGTGCTTGAAGTCTTCTGTTAGCGTTCTATTCAGCCACTGCCTGCATTATAACTTTAGTGGAACAAAATCAGTGTTTTGTAAATTCACCAGAGTGCTAGTTGTTTGTTGTAATACACCGTACAAGATCCTTACTACTTTTGAAGGTGTAGCAACTTTATTATTTCAGGCTTGTGGTGTTGCAAGAGGTAGCATCAAGCTATACCTCGTGTATTACCTTATGATGTCACTTGTGCTAGAAGAGTGCAGGGATGAGTTACTGTTTGTTAGCTAGCTTCAGGGGATAGCTGAGTTAGTCTGTTATGGGGGGGGGGGGGAACAGCAAGACCATTTGCTTGCTGTTTTTTTAACTGTTTGTTGTTACTTTATATTTAACAAAATTGTGTGATCCTAGTCAGGGATTCTCAAACTTCTATTGCCCCATGACCTCCTATAGGACTCCAAGAGCAAAGAGCCTGTTCAAGCCCTGCTGCCCAGCGGGGGAGCCAGATTCCAAGGGCTTCAGACTAGGGTTGTAATAGTGTGGTGCAGTGGTTATCAACTGTGGGCCATATGGCTCCCCAGGGGCCATGCCCTACCTCTAGGGGGCCACATGAAAAAACTGAATATTAGGTAAATTATGTACCTTTTTTCCAACTAACTGAGGGGGGCCACAGAGGTAAACAAGGCTCAGAAGGGGACCATGAGCAAAAAAAAGCTGGGAACCCATGGACTACACCAGCGTTTCTCAAACTGGGTGTGTGAAGAAATTTGGGGGAGAGGGGAACAAGGTGACCCAGCTTTCCCCCCCCCATCAACTCATGCTGCCCTGGTCAGTTCCTTTTTGGGGGGAGGGGGGAGAGAGAAGGCTCAAAACATTTTGCTGCTATTTTGGGGGGTGGGAGGGCTGTGAGTTATTGAAAAGAGGGCATGATGCCGAAAAGTTTGGGAATCACTAGTGTAGTCTACTAAACAATTAACTGATAGTGTTAACTAATAAGTGGGTGTTTGTCAACTATATGCAACACACCCTCAGGGTTCAGCAAGTAAATTTTTAGTGGGCTGGCCAACAGGCTGGCTCCAGCTGAGTCCTGGCAGATGTTGCCCTCTTCTGTGTTTGCACTCCAAGTACTTTAAGAGCCAGAGCATGGGCAGACTGGCTCTTCCAAGTTCTTGTAGTGTAGAGCCACAGTGGGTGTAGTTGCTGAGTCTGGCACAAGTTGGGACTGAAGGGTTAGCACTGCTACCACTATCGATTAATTGTGTAACCGAAAAAATTTGTCATCTTCACAATTAACAAATTACATGCTTCTTAACATCTTAACTTTAGACCAAGGCAGTGGGGCTCGGGCTTTGGCCCCAGACCACAGCAAGCCTAAAACCAGCTTTGGTGACCCCATTTTAATGGGGTTATGACCAGTGTTCCCTGTAAAGCTAAGTACTTGGGTAGTCACCGAGGATTGATTCATGTGCTGTCTAGATGATTAGCAGAGACAGCCAGCAGCATTTGTTTCTATTAGTGGTGCATATCTGCACATGCCTTGATGTATATAACAATTTATTCTGCACATGGATGGGAAAAAAATTAAGACCGAACATTGCTTGTGACCCGCTTGAGAGTCTCAAAGCACTTTAAGAACCTGGGTAGTAAAATGAGGAAAGCTATGCTGTATTATACCCATCTGAATGCAGTATATGGTAAGAAAAATGCATCCTTGTGCTTTAGTTAGTACTCATATAGTGAATTGCAGTTTGCCAATGTATTACACTTTCTGATCTTTTTTTACTATATAAGTAGAATAGGATTTCGCATCTCCACACAGTTCATACTGTCCAGTTCTGATTGGTTTTATTTTATGTCTTCCTGGTTTAGGTTAATCTTGCAATAACTAGCTCTCATTTTACTAGTTATTTTATAAATATTAAGTGGGTTCATGCTAGAGAATACAGGAAGAGCTTGAAATATTTGTAGAAATTCCTCTTCGTTCCTTGAAGTCTATTCTGGTTTCCCTTCCAGCAAAGGAGAGTTGGAGCAGGCTTTCGATAGAACCAGTCACAGATGCTGAGTGTGAAAGGGATTTTCTTCAGTATAATGTCTGTCTAATCAAATGCTAAGCCAGATGCATGATGTTCTTAGACCTTCTGAGAACGGCCGATAACCTTGATGGCCTGAACATCTCAGTAAAAAGAAACGTGTAAAACTCTGAAGCAGCTTCTTAAATAACACTTACACCTTTGATAGTGTACTATGTAGCCTTTTCCGATATAAAAATATGCAAACAGTAGGGATGTGAAAATGTAACCATGTAAAAGCTTAACTAATAAACCTGGGTTTATTAGTTAACGTTCACGGTTTCATGCAGGTTCCAGGTACGTGCAAGAAGCTGACTTAACAGATCCCAGGGAGCTGCTTGCGGCCCCATGCATCAGGGAGCAGTGTGAGGTGGCAAGTAGGAGCTGGTGCACACAGGAAGCTAGTTTAAAAATCAGCCCCACACATGCACTGGCTCATAGGCAACCCCCTGCTGCCCCACATAAACTTCTTAACCACTGAAATTTTCAGTGGCTACCCAGTTACTTAATTACATGCATTTTGACATCCCTAGTAAAGTCATACTGCTATGTCTTCTTTATCTTATATAGAACAGTGTTTCTCAATCCTTTTTTTATAAAGTACCTCTTTTTTTCTTTTTAACAAAAAAAAAAAAAATAGTACCCCTACTACCAACAGTTTTCAGACACACAATTTTTTTTCTACCATTGCAACGCATTTGTTTAAACAACTTTTATCATAGCCAGGCAGGAGATGAAATTTTTGGGTGTAAAAAGGACAAAAATAATAGTGCTGTAAAACAAAAATTCAGTTTTCTCCAAATTTCAGTTGCTGATGTACCCCCGACTTCTCTTGAGTACCCCAAATGTACTCATTCCACTGGTTGAGAAACACTGTTAGAGACTTTCATCTAGATCAGGGGTTCCCAAACAGGATATGTGAGAGAAATTGTGAGATAGTGGATTTTATTTATTTTACTGAATTTTCATGATAGGCTACTCGGAGCTTTAAAACTCTAGGACTGTTATATAAAATACAGTAGTTAATGTAGATATGTACTCCTGGGTATATAGTGGGCATACACACACTAATGTACAGAGCCCTCACTTCCAGTTGTCATACAGGACGTAGGAATTTGGGGGGGAGGAGGGGGGAGTTGTACAGGTTGAACCTCTCTAGTCCAACACTCTTGGAACCTGACAGGTTCTGAACCAGAACATTTGCTGAGTCACGGGAGGTCAGTATTGTCTAGCAGAATTACCAACACTTCCATTGCTGCATAGGTTCTTAGATGTTTATCCTGTGCTGTTATTTCAAATTTACCCTTATAGTGCCAGGACTGGTGGCTGTAAACAGGTTTGTTGGGACAATGGGAAACTTGGCCACAACCACAAGCAGACATCCAGCAAATTAAAACCATGTTAAAATGTGGATGTTGCTGGACCAGTGCACCAGACTGGAGAAGTTCAACTAGTATGCCTTACTCGAACTGTAACTGTATGTAACAGTGAAATATGAAGAACTAAATACAGGTGGTGTCAAGAACACACAAATTATCAGTGATAAGAGTAGGAGCATGCAAGCAGATGCCAGGGTCTTTTTATGTAATAAAAAGTTTGGGAACCTCTGCTCCAGACAAACAGGAAAGTGATTAATCCCTTTTAATTGGTGGCCAATATAAAAGTTTTACATAGTTGAATTTGCTATGGTAGCATACTCCCATGTGTTTACACAGCACAAAAAAAACCCCAAACCCCATGGCAGAGTCACTGAGCCCCAGTAGGGATGTTAATGACTAGTTGACTATCCGATAAGCAAATGCTTATTGGATAGTCGCTATGGCTGTCTCCACTGCGGCAGTTTTTCAGAAGAGGAAATGCAAATGGAGCACTCATTTGCAAATCTCATGCTCTCTTCTGATTCTGTTTGCGGAAGAGGTTTTTGCTATAAAAAGCCCTTTGTAGATGGGGCCATTTCTTGGACTTATTGTAAGTTCAAGTTTTTTTTTTTTTTTTTTTTTTTTTTAAAGGAATAAGGGATCTTGCGCAAAACAGGCTTCTTCCCAACAAATGGCCCCGTCTACACAGGGCTTTTTATAGCAAAAATGTCTTCTGCAAACAGGATCAGAAGAGAATATGCAAATGAGAGCATGAGATTTGCAAATGAGCACTCCACTTGCATTTCCTCTTCTGAAAAACAGCTGCAGTGTAGACATAGCCCAAAGATAGTCAACTAGTTGCTTTCTCTCCCCCCTGCCCCCTTGCTGCCCCTATCAAATAGATGCAGCAAGGGGGTGGGGGAAGAGGAAGGTACTTCAAAGCAGCAGCACCGCATGGAGCCCAAGGTTCCAGGTGCTGGGCGGCACTCATTTCAAAGAGGCAGTACTGCACAGAGTCCCCAGCTGACCCTGCCATCACAGCATTTCAAAAGGGGTAGTGCTGTGTGGAGCCTGGG